GACGCATCGCGGAAGGCGTGACTGGAGAGGAAACCGACGAGGTTCCTCAAGCAGGGCGGTAGCCTTTTGTGCCGTTGTCGAGGTAGCCAAGAGAGTAGGGTGGTGGAGCCGTGGTCGAGGTAGCCGTGCAAAGGATGTCGTGGTCGATGTCGAGTCAGGGTAGCCGGTGTCGAGGAAGGCGTCATGGAGCCGCGGGCGCTAGGAGGCGCCGAGTTAGTCATAGGCGCAGTGTTGTTGAAGTAGGGGTGCGCCGGGAAGGAGACGTTGTTGACGACCAAGCCCGGTGACACATCGTGGATGAAGGCACGCATCGGTCTTGCCAGCACCGGGCATGCGTAGATGACGGACCTGCACGAGTTGTACGCCATGTCGAGGATTCGGAGGGCCAGCGGAAGAGAAGACTCGACGACGGTTGCAGCGCCAGTCGGCGCGGGGCCGATGTCGCCGACAGTGGTCGGAGTAGACGAAGTGGCCGAGGAAGAAGACGGTGACGCTGGCGACGGGCTGGTGCTTGACGAAGACGAAGGGGGTGGACGGGCGGCGACAGTTATGAGGGTAGCAGCGGCGCCGGCCGACGAAGACGAAGGGGGTGGACGGGTGGCCGCCTAATGGCGGCTGCGGCTAAGTAAGGAGCGCGGTAGCGGTGCTCGAAGTAGGCGAAGAACCCGACAGCGTGACGAAGACTGGCGCGGACGGTGGCGTTCCCGCGCCAAGGGAGGCGGCGCGGTGCATACCACGGGAGGTCGACGAGCGGAGCCAACGGGGCACCACGGGCCGCGGTGCTAGGACCCGAAGGGGTGACGCAGCGGCGGCAGACAGGTCGGGGCAACTACGAAAGATCTCGGGGCGGTTGCGGGGACCGCGTGCCATGGTGCGATGACCCGAAGGGGCGGCGCAGCGCGGACGGCGGGTCGATGCAACCGTGGGAACGGCCTCGGGTGGCGGTGTGGATCCCATGCCATGCTCGCTACGGCCCGACGAGGCAGCGTAGTGACGGCGCGAGGGTCGGCGCAGCCATGGGGATGGCCTAGAGCGGACACCTCGGGGCGGCGGTGGACCGCGGGCCGCGGCACTACGGCCCGAAGGGGTGACGCATCGGTGACACGGATCGTGCAGTCACGGAGAGAACCACGGGGCGGCGACGCTGCGGCCCGGTGGGGCGACGCAGCGGCAGTCCGATGCTCGATCGATGGAGGAACGCGCTAAATGATGACGCTCTTCACGGGACCTGCGGAGGCGCGCGCAACCGACGAGCCAGGTCGGTCGCACGACGTAGATGAGACGGATCGCGGCTACGAGCGGTTGGTCAAACCGATCGCGCGCGAAGTCGAGGACGCCGCTCGGTAGAGGCGGGGTGGCGTTGAGGTCTGAGGTGAAGCAGATGACGACGACCGGCAGAGCAGCCGTACAGGCGCGGCCAAAAGTCCAAACTGATGGAAGGAAGCGGGCAATATATTTCAACACTCCCTCTTACGTCTAGGCTATTTTAGTCCTTAGACGTGGGATTAATGTAGGGCGTAGAATCATTTTATTTAATACTGCGTTGGCAGGGTTTTGAACTCAAGACCTCTTGACTCGGATACCATGTCAGAATGGAGAGAGAGGTTTGGTGAAATAGTTGTTGTTATTGCTTGAGCCTCATGAGCATATATATATATAGGAAAACGTTTAGGAACGGCGGACCGGCCGAATGTTCAGCCGGTCACACCGCTCGCTCGCCTAGCACAGCTATCATACGCACCGCTCGTCGCGACCTTAGGGCATGTACAATGCATAGCCTCAAGGTGATGCCTCACATGCCATGTAGGATCGGATATGACACAAAAGTAGGTTCGGATAGGGAAGCAGGATCCTCTCCAGGAGGCGGGTGCTTGAAGAGAAAAAGCGTGGTCCAGTGACAAAAACTGAAAAGGTTGGAGTGAAAAGTAGAGTTGCATGTGTACTATAGTCTTTATTTTTTATTTCTTAATGAGGCCACTAGTAATAGCTTGCATTGGAGAGGAAAAATTAATGTAGGTGCTTCAAATTACTTTTTATCATGGGGCATATGTATCCATATGCCACCATTATACATGCCCTTATCATTTCCCGTTCGTCATCACTGACCACTCGTTCCCCTCCTTTTTCCTTCACGCACTTGTTGTTGCTCCTTCCATCCTCACCTCCTTCTATCTCCACACATGCCGCTTCTCCATCCATCTCCACCTCCCCAGCTCCCTCCCTCCATTCCTCCCTCGCTCCCTCCCTTGAGCGCGGCCGCCCAAGCCTACTTCGCCACTGCAAGCTACGATGAGGATGGTGGCTTCCTGAAACAACGACCACGGCCACTGCGCGGCGAGCTGCAACGACGACGCCCGCGGCCGCCGGTTGTGGGGACTACTGGCGCCAGAAGTTGCAACCTCGTCGTGGGGAGCTGCAACCGGCAACGCCGGGAGCTACAACCTCCTGTTGGCGGAGCACCAGGGCTCCCCGGTCACCACGGTCCTCATCGATTCTTTGCTACAGCCAGTGTCAAAAATTGCTACAACCGGTCATGCTGCAACCCACGGCTATGTCCTTTGCATCTCCGGCGACCCCCTGCCTCAATTAAATCTCTACAGTACCAGTTCAAATCAATGGTTGCAGCTTTTTTACAAGCCGGATGCATCTTTTCCAATCACCAGTTCCAGCATTTTTAA